TCACTGAAATGTCTTCCCAGCACCCTGAACAGCCACACTGTGCTCAATCTCAGAGGTGTGCCACTGGCTGTGGCTCCTGCTGCATCCTGCAAGCTGCCAGAAGGCCTCTGTGTGTTCTGTGGGACTGCCGTCAGAGGAGACCAAATCACTTTGAAGGGTGAACGCCTGAAGTTGTAAAGCTTTGCTTTTGCTTTGCAGCAGAGTGTTTGAAACTTTCGTGGTTTTAGAAGCAGCCACAGGGAGTTGTTTGCAATGTTTATTAGTTTTCCAAGTTCTGGAAAATAAATATCACCACCGCTCCATGATTCAGCAGCTCCATCTTCAGTTGCATGGCCTAAGTAAGTACAACCAAAGTACAGATGATAAAAGCTTCTTGACTCATTCTGCTTTTGCAGGTGTAAGATGAAAGATGTGTCCTGCATGCACATCTCAAATATGAGACTTGATCCCCATTTTCCAAGTAGAGCACAGATTCTGAAGCCTAGTGGTTCAGTGAACACTAAAGGCAGGGAGCTTGGCACTGGGAGAAAAACTGTGCCTTGCAGTGATATTTCATATAATTGCACATACTTTTATGATATTGCCTAATCTGTAGGGTATGCTATGCAAGATAGTACTGTTGTTAGTAACTATACAGACAATTAATTGTAATGTTATTGCAGGAGGAGTACAATGTGGGAGATATGGAACAAAGTGTGTTCCAGAAATGATTTTAGTAGCCAAGATAAAAAGCCTAATAGTTAATAAAAAAAAAAAAAGAAAGAAAGAAAGAAAGAAAACTGTTGAACATGAATGTCAACATTTTTAATGGATTGCCTTTCTTATTGTGTGCTGCATGTTTTTGTCAGGGGAATACGATAATTATAAACTAGTAACAATAATGAGGTTTTGAATATTCATAGGCAATTAGAATATGTCTCAGTGCATTTTATAGGTACCCAGTGGGAAATGTTACTCATATTTCAGAAATAACTGGTCTGCAGTCCTAGGTGAAAAACACGGGATGGAAATCAAAACCCTAAGCAGGGTGTAACACTAACAAACTCCCGCTGATAGGGAAGGAAAAGCAAATATTAAGCATTGATAAAACTGTAAGTTTATAGTCATGCCTTCTTACTGACAGTGGATTCATATATGGAACGAGTAGTTCTGTTTAGATTTTAAAAGATGCAGGGACACATTTCATAAACTCTTTGCATATTGGATATCTGTTCAGGATTAGAGAAGTGCAAACAAACAAACAAATCACCACTGTGAACAATAACAACAAACAACAACTACAGGTGAAATGGCAGCAGGGAAGGGAATAGTAGGGAGTTTTACACTGAATAACTGGTGGATGTGTCTACTAGAAATCCTGAAGCAACACTTTAAGCTTTCTTAAACATTTATCCTGTTCAGCTAAACGTCATTGGGCTCTTCACACACCAAAGCCATACTGTTCATTTAGTTGTACAGTTTGTTAGCAGACGACAATGATCCTTTTGCTGGTTAAGATATGAGTTTTCACGTATGTAGCTACAAATTTCAGTGGCTTTTTAATAATATTTTACTTATTTTTGAAACTTAAATAGGGATTTACTTACAATTATTGCCTCTTGCCTTTGGAAATGCATTTCTCATGAGACATCCTTTTTCCAGTTCAGTACATTGGAAATATTTATGGCATGTTCATGTGCTGTGACATTGAGTTGTCATGAGACCAATTTTGCTGTCATGTATATCAACACATAATGAGAGCCTTTAGTAACTTAATTAGCAACTCTTAGCAACTTTTCAGGAGGGATCCTGAAGAAAGAAGGCAGCATCAGCACGTACATTTTGGAAGAAATCTGCTTGGTGCCTCAAACTGACAGCCCCTATTGAAATGACACCAGGAGTTCTGCAAACAATATTGCCTGGATGGTAATAATGAAAAGGAAAGGTTAAACATGATATTATTCTAGTCTCAGGTTTGATTGATGAGCCTGCAGAATATGTTGCAGAAGGGTTTTCCATAGCAGTTGCTATAATCAGCTTTTGAGAGCTGTGTTTCCACCGAGGTATGTTTAAAAATGATGGCCTTGCCAAAAGAAAGTGGTGACTGCAATGGAAATGTGAGCACTCAGAAGATAAGAGGCAATTGTGGAAACTGATCATAAGGAAAGGTTAATTTTTAAAGAAAATTGGACAAAAAAATATAGTTTTGGTAAAAGAATAAGTCAGGCAGCTTTGTTTTGACTTCACAGTTCAGAATAGGGACGAACTTGCACTTAGTACTTCCCAGGTGATCTTAATTAGTCTCTTCTGATTACAAGCAGTCAACTGTCAGCACTGTGAGGCAACAGGAAAAACTGAAATGACATAGAAAATATAACCTTCTTTAATTCCTTTTTGTTTATTGGTTTTCCATATTATTTTTCTATTTACTTGGTTTGAACTACAGACATGACTTTTTGAACTTCTGCAACAAGAGAGAAATGAAATATGCTTTCAGTTTGTCCATTTTTCCAACTATACAACTTTTTTTTTTTTTTTTTTTCCTAATATTCCCTTTATGGCCAGGTTCATTCATTGGCTTTAGTGAGGTTATTGCAATAACTGAATCCAAAGTCCGAACCTAAAGACTTGTTAATTTTGGATCTCAGACTATGGAGCTATATCATACTCATAGCATCTTTGCTTTGTATTGGCTGTTTCTTTAAGTACCTTTTAACTGGGAATATAGATAAAAAATACTTGAATGAATTTTTAAATATCTGATTGAAATACAAGCAATTTAATACACAAACTAAACACATCCTTGATCCAAAATTAAATCACTGAGGCATTGTTGTGGACTCCATACAGTCCATTTGCAGTTTCCATCTTTTCTTCTTATTGCATGAAGCATATAAGCACATTATTACTTAAAAAATATGAACCAAATCCAAGTACTAACAAACTGTTCTAGTTTTGTTCTCTGTAACGGTTTCTATCATGCATAAACCATAAGACCGTAGCTATAGACGCTTGCTTCACAAGTTCTGGGAAGTAATTTTCTAATTCACCTTTCTTTGCCAATCACAAATCTGAAATCATAGAATCATATCATAGAATCACAGAATGGACTGGGTTGAAAAAGACCATAATAATTATCTAGTTTCAACCCCCTTGCTGTGTGCAGGGTTGCCAACCAGCTGCCCAGAGCCACATCCAGCCTGGCCTTGAATGCCTCCTCCTCTGCAGCAGTAACCTTTCCTGTTTTACTGTAAACTTTCTCCTTGATATTTTGGCAAGTAGCTCTGAAGAAACCCTTATTTTGTCAGCAGAAATGGTAGCTCTCTCTTAGGAAGGAAGCAGAAACGTATAAACTCACCAGGGACTAATTTCTTTAATGTATTATAGTACATTTTTACATGCCACAATATTACATTGTTCTTTGATGTCCCAGCATGTAGCAAATGATTATAGTTTCTTTGTGGCTGTTTGCAAGATTATGAGTGATAAGGTAAGCTGCATGCTTTCTACTTCTTCTTGTCCTTTTTTTCTTTTTTTTTTTTTTTGCTTCTGCTTCATAGTCCTTATAAATAATTCATGCCACAAAATTACTGTCCCAGAAAAATGCAGACTGTTTCATCAGCTCTTTCACACTTTATTGATCAGCATATATAATTTTTTAATGTGCAGTATCACTGGAGTTTTGAATACTAGTGAGTTTCTTGCCCTGTCTCACAGAATGCTCCAGCAAAGACTTCAAAAGTCTTGGACATGTCCATAATAAAATTACTTTAGACCAAAGGACAAGATTATTCCCACTAGTTTAAATTATGCTCTTTAGGGTACAACTTAAGTTTCCTGATCATGAGATATAGAAGAACATATGAAAAATTAGATGAAATGGAAGGGGAATGATACAGGAGAAAATTGAACTATTTTGAGGAGTAAGTGTTAGATTCATGGCTGCTGTAAATCTTCGCACTTTTCTTGCCATCAGTAGCATGATGCTGACTTATATTTGTTGTAAATCTGCCCAACAAATGTGTAAAAGAAGTGTGATCTATGATGAAAACAGAAGGAAAATGTAGAAAAGGTTTTAAAGTCATGTATGCTAGCAAGACTTAAAAGACATTTTAATGTGCTGTTCTTGAATATGTTTTAAGGCATAAGCCTTAAGCCATTGGCTTCTGAAACTTGCTCCAAAACTTAAAGCTGTGCTATGACTTTTTCAACCATTTTGTTCAGCCTCATTGAGGTACTGTTCATCTAAAAAGGACAGTTTAATGCTGCTTTTCAGGTACGTGATTCCATCATTTACTGGGTGCAAAGTAATTGAATGAGATTGGAACTGCATTGGGTTGCACCTGCTCTGCCCTGGGAGAGCAATCAAAGGCAAAGCTTCTTGCAAAGCATCTCACAAAGCAGTACCTGGCAGTCTTCTTCATTCTGTTGGCCTTCACGATGCATTTGTTTTTCTTATTTGCCAGGTAGAGTTATATCTTAGCTATACAAATAATTATCTCCAAATTTAGAGACATATCTGCATTGTAATATTTAAGAAATACTACTTCCTCTCATTGAATAAATGGAGAAAGGATGCTGTTTTTATGATGGCTAGTATACAGGATGTATTATAGAAGTAATCTTAGAACAGTACTAGAATTTGCTTTTAATGAAAAGAGAGAAGGTATTCCTCACATCAGTACATTCCTTCTTGAAATGACAAGGGAACATATTAAAAATAAAGACCAGAGTCCTGAAGGCTGAGCAATTAATAATTGGTCTGTAACTACAACTCATAATGTTTTATTTTCAGTGAATTTCTAGGCAAGCTGAAACAGCTTGAAACAATAATCATTAGCCAAGGAGGACCTCAGAGAAGACAGATAATACGTAATGTGTGTAGGAACTGCTGAATCACGGCCTGAACCTCTGATTGACCACCTGAGGCAAGCAGTGAGTCAGCCCTGGGAGCACAGGTGAAGGCAATTCACCTGCCCTACTGGAAGAGGTAGAGCCTGGCTGCACCTCTCCTAGATCCCATTTAAGTGCTGACTGCTGCTGAGGAAGGATCTCTTCCTGGAGATTGCTGCTCGTGGAGAATATTGTGAGCCTACAACATTGGTGAGCATTCTTCATTTATTATTCTCCTGTTGCAATAATCTTGCTTAGCCTAAATTTCCTGTGTGTTACTTAATTATAACATTTGTCTATTCATTGATTAGATATAATGTCACTGTAGCTTTAGTGTGGAACACTGGCAAGACAGTTGACCCTAATCTGTGTGGGGATAGTCTGGAAGTCATTGAAGTGTTTTAATTTTCTGGCAAGAGTGAACTTGATCAGAAGGAAAACGCTCCCCTGTCTTTAGAGCAAAGAAAAGCTCAGTACAAATCAGTGCAAACCTTGTTGGGAGCTGTAATTCCATTGGAAGCTGCTCCTGGCCTTGTTCATTTGGCTTGCTGCTGCTTTTGGCAGGCAGGTGGTGAAGTCATTGTCTTGCTCTTAAACTTTGCTTAGATGGAGGTGCTGCTGTGCATAACAGAGCAATACCCTGATTTTGCATCATAGAGACTTGCATGATCCATAACAGCTGGCTGTCAATAATATCAAATTGCCTTAATTTTTTTTTTCTGCTGCTTTTTCTGTAGCTCTGTCTGTTGACAGGCTCCCTCATAAAATTATAACTCATGCAATTGAGGTGATGTTTTTGCAGTGTGAAATACTTAATATTTGGGCAAAAAAACTGGGAGATACAAATCTGTGGGGTAGGTACTAGCTTTCAGAAGTGTCAGTTCACAGCAGAATTATTACGCTGCGGATGTTTGTAATGTCAGGCTTAGGCAGGCTCTGTCATAGCTGCCATTATAAACCTGTTAGGAGGCACTACAGATAAATTCTGTGCTTGATGTGCAAGCATTTATTTCATGACTGTTAGTATCACAATGATTACATGCTGACACTCTGTCAAAAAAAAAAAAAAGATGTGTGGTTATATGTTCAATATGTTTTTCAATGCAAGAACAATTTACAGATTTCTCTAGGTTTACATCAGTATCAAAATTGATAGCCATTATAATACAGCAGGGTTTCTAAACAGGCAATGAGCACATTGCTAAACAAGGAACAATAGAAATATGGTTGTCATATCCAAACTGGCATGCTTCAAAAAATTGGTGAGATTTTCTCAAGGCATAGAAAATCGGCTTTCCTATCAGATTTGCTCTGATCAAAAGATTAGTAATCAACCCTCATAACTGGTTTTCAATGTCAGAAAATTTGGAATGTCGTAAAAATAGAAGATGTAGTTTTCCTTTTGCTTTGTTCTGCTGGTGGTGCTGCATCCGTAATACATTTTAAAAATGTAAGATGGTTAAATGCATTTTTAGAAGTAAAAGGGACATGCACTGACCTGTGGGAGAAGGCCTTATAGCTGGCTTCTATCAACCTGGGTGTTCTGCAGGATTAATGAATTCTACACTTATTTAATGGTTGCCTTTATGACTTGGATCTTTAACGATTTTGTAAGCTGTGAGCACATTCCACCCCCTGTAAAATCTGCACTCCTGACGATTCAGACAGCAGTTAGATTGCTGCTTTAGTAGCAGCAGTTTATCTACTTTGGTCTTCATTCATTACTTCAATGATTGTTGGGTCTTTAGTTTGTGCCTCTGGGATTGTGATAGTAATTAATTACTGCGCTACAAATTTATTTTTAATCATGTGGCAGGGCGAGAAGCAAGTTAATTTTGTTTACTGGTAAACATCTGTATTCCATTATATATTGGGTTGTCAGCTTCTCTCCTTAGTATCGTCTGTATGTTATTGTTTGGTAAGAAGCACTGCTGTTACACCCTATCCTATTTAATACAGCCCCAAATTATAAAGAATTCTGAAATGTTATGATAACTTTGATCACCTTGCAATAACTAAAAGCGCCGCAGAACTTTAACAGGCCTTTGAAGAGCCATAATTGGATGCTGTGCACTACTTGTTTATTCTTTTATTTAACTTTGATCAGGCTCTAAATGTATAATAAAAATAAATATAAATAAACTGCACTGAAGAAATGAAGATCTGACATTGAAACATTCATTCTCTCCACTTACCCTTAATGGGAAGGATAGGCCGTTTGCTCCAGAACTGCAATTGTCAGTTTGTGTATGAACAAAATGTATTGAATGTATGTATTTGTATAAGGAAAAGTGGGGAAGACATTTCTGATTGTAATAGCACTGTTTCAACTCTTAGGCCATGGATTTTTTTAAATTTATCTTGTGATAACAGTAATACATATTCAGTAGGGGTTTAGTTCAACAAAGTTTTCCATTTAAGTTCTGGATTTCTGATGTATTTAATAAATGTTAATTGATATGAAAATCTGATATTTTTTTTTAAAGGAAAAATAAAAGGAGACTTAGAAATAGAAATATAAATTCTATGGCACAGCTTTGTGCATTGCTTACACCTTCCTTCATTAGGAAATTAAAAGAATGATTGAAATGATATGCATTTGTGGAAACTGAGCTGATTGAAAACCAAATCTTGCATTCACCTTGACCTGATCCAATAATAGAACGTGACCTAAAGTTGGCCAGAAAATTCTCTCAACATAATGAATACTATTCTCAGGAGAGCCTATTTGTAGTTCAAGAAAATGTAAAAGGTTTTTTAACACAGTGAGAAATACATTTGTTACTTCGTCTCTAATAGCTTTGTTAGGCACTCTGAACCTACATTCAAGTGTTTGGCTTTGCTCTTGGTCATCCAAGGAGTAGAGTTTGGTTATAATATTCACATTTACAGTCTCCTGGCAATGAACAAACAAAAAATAATAATGCTAAACAACAGTTTTTAATTAATTTAGCTGTGTTGGAGTTAGCTTTGACACCTACTGTAGCCTTCGTTCTATTCATGTGCTGATCAGCTGCCACTGAGTAACTGAGAGAGTGCTGAGTGTCTCTAGAAATGGGTTGAAGTGTTTTTCAAGAGGTGGAGTCAGAAGGCAAATCTGGATGTGTGACTGTCTTTTTTTCCTAACGTTATTTTTTTTCCCCCCAGCCACATGATTTGACAATGAGATTTCCTACATTGGAAGTTATGCACAAGCTCAGTTCATTTTCAAACAATCCTAATTCTTTTGGGAAATCAGTTGTGTCAGAAAGCATTCTTTGGTTAACAGATATATAATTAGACATCTTAAAGTGTGCAAAGCTCCACTCCAAGAAGAAATGAAGGCGTGTGGTGATCACATTCAGGCAGCATAGTTAATATCATATTCCATAAATGAATGCATTTTGGAAATTTACTGCCAGTTGCTAAAGGAGATGTGCTTTCTCATTCCTTAACATTTGTCACCACACAATCATATTTTAATTATATATATATATATATAATTTAATTATATATATATATCTTGAAAATATAGGAGGTATAGTTTAAAATCTGTCGTGGACCCATCTACGTAACAGGAAATTATTTGGCTTCTGAATAGGAACAGAAAAGTAATATTATGTTACAGGTGTTTAGAGATGTGCTTTTTTCCAGAGCAGGTATATAGATTTTCTGGCTTTAATTTCAATGTTAATGTAGCCCAGTCCTTTGCTTTTCTCATTCAGCCTGACAGATGAAATTCAGCCTGGCAGAGGAAATCCAAGTGTCACCTTTTGCCTCTGCTGGTCTCGTTTTCTTGCTGGACTTTCCTTTATCACTTCTTCCTGAATCACTCTCTCTCCTTTCTCTGCTGTAGTTCTGATCCAAAATCTAATTCTTAAAAACCTCCTCAGGAGGTTCTTATTTTATACATTGATTTATGTGGTGATGCTTATACATAAAATTCATTTTTATCTGATAAATTTTATGTAATCATTTTCCATCTGTATCTGTGACTTTCTGGCACTGCCAATACTCATTCAGCAGAGTCAATCATGCTGGCAAAGATAGTTTTTCCACAGGGCAGTGATATTCCTAGAGAAACTTTATGTCCAAACCTGGATAAATGCTTCTTGGGTGATCCCAGTGAGCAAATTCAGATCTGTAGCCTGGAGCCCACTGTAGGGGTGGGTTGGAGTTGGTGGATGGGCTCAGTGAGGTTTGCTGCCCTAGGCCCTTCCCAGGGCTGTCCAATCTCTCCATTGCTTCTGTCAGTGTGAGCTTGCTTCAGCACTGTTTTAGAGCTCTTTTGTCTTAAATTGGCTGTAGTTTAGCTGAGAGCATTCTATATAGGTTGTAAAACACTATGTACTGACAACGACCTATTCAGCTCTTATTGAGCTCCTATTTTACATGTTTCTGAGATGACCATAACTGATCATCCATAATTTATAAAATAGTGTTGGTTACTGGAGCAAGTTATGCAGGTTATATCTTGACTATTTCTAGGCAGGATGGCAGCAACGCTTATACTTTAACTGTTCAAATTCTCCTGACACTTATTCTTCATCTTCTGCTTCATTTTCTGCTGAGAGTGTGAGATGTTGTTGTTTTTTGCTAAATGGTATCAGTAAGTCTGTAGGGAAGCCAGCAATGCAAGGAAACCACAGCTTTTCTTACTCCTTAAGAAAAACCAGTTCAAACTGGGAATAGTATTCTGTACAGCAGCTCCTTTTTTCTTTCTTTAAAAAAAGGACAACAAATCTCTTGCTATTTTATAGTATACCAAATCTTGAAACCAAAATCATTGTCTGATGCTGTGGCTATCTGGAACGGTTAATCCATACAGTGAAAAAAATCATATTTTTTTTGCAATTCAGAGTAAATTTGGGTAAAGAGAATGTACATTTCTCTAATGTAGGTAATATAAAGACTACCTGGCTTGAATCACTGAACAGTTGGTTTAGTCAAGTTTTATTTATGGAGAATGTAGCTTTTATATTTTTAAATCTATTGTTTCATCATTGTGCCAACAGGAAGAAAAGTGTCAATGTATAGACTGCGTCTTCTAAAAATCATATCTCTCTGATTAATGACTTAAATCTGTAGATGAGCTGCTTGAATTTTGTCCTTGAAAACTGCAAGAGCAAGGTTGCAGAGGGAAACTGTATTTCTTTGTTAGATGTGTTGCTCTAAAAAGCTGATCATCGTCTGTAGTTACTGAAACAATATTTCTTTTGATTTTATTACCC